TGCTGTGGAAGAAAGGCGATGGATGTAATACAGAACAGGTTAAATTAAAAATCACAAAATGGAAGTATCAGTGTAAACTCATTTGGCATTTTATCTCAGTCTGTCCACTGCAGAGGCCTAGAAACAGTGACCGACCTAATAGCAATGAGCATACCCAGGGTCTAGACAGGGTCCTTGAAATGCTATTTTCTACTAAAAGATACTTGAGCTTCTTAAGAAACGGCTTTAAAGGGTTAGGAGTAGGGGTGGGAACAGATCTTGACACTACAGAAAGCAAACCTATGAAGCCATGAAGGACTACCAGGGTCACCACTAGGACTCAAGACAGTTGCCTAAAGCTGGGGATAGGAATCAGCAATGACAGCAAATGGACTTGTGGTTTCTTTTAGGGCTGATAGATATGTTCTAAAATTAGATTGTGGTGATATAGATAAATTTTTGATACAACCCTAAAATAAGTGAGTTGTATCAATGGTGAGCTTTCTAGTGGTAAACTGTATTATATAAAAAATCTGGAATTATACACTTAGTATGGTGAAATTTATGGTATTTAGATTACATCTCTATAAAGCTGCTGGAAGAAAAGATATGCCCAAACCTTCAAAAGGGATCATGGTTTCAGTGTTAAAAAAAGAAAAAAAAAAAAACCATAAAATATGTGTTTGTTTTTATTTTTCCCACAGACAGGGTCTCACTGTCACCCAGCCTGGAATACAACGGTGCTATAACAGCTCACTGAAACCTCAAACTCCTGGGCTCAGTGATCCTCTCACCTCGTTCTCCTAAGTAGCTAGGACTATGGACATGTGCCACCATATCTGGCGAATTTTTTGTATTTTTTTGTAGAGATGGGGTCTTTCTCTGTTTCCCAAGCTGGTCTTGAACTCCTGGCCTCAAACGAACATCCTGCTTTGGCTTCCCAAAGTGCTTGAATTACAGGCATGAGCCACCATGCCTGGCCATAAAATATATTTAAAGCCATGAGTTCATGAAGACTTTTTTAAAATCCAGTGATTATACAAATCTACATTTATGGTAAAATTACACAGATCTAAATATATACACAGACACACAAATGAATACATATAAAACTGGTGAAATCAGACAAAAACAAGTGGGTCATATGAATGCTCAATTTTCCAGCTGTGAAACCATACTATAATTATATAAGATGGTACCACTGGAGGAAACTGGGTGAAGGGTACACCAGATCTCTGTATTATTTTTTACAACTGCATAAGAATATATAATTATCTTAAGATGAAATATTTAATCAAAAAATACTCTAATTGGTCACCTTTGAAGAATAGTAGGGAATCAATTCCTATCTTTTTTTTTTTTTTTTTTTTTTTTTTTGACAAACAGTTTTGAGCTAATCAGGTTGCTCAGGTTAGCCTTGAACTGATGACCTCGCCTTCGCGAGCGCCATGAGCTCCGGCGGGAGCCACTTTGGACCCCCAATTCCTATCTTAAAAGCTAGTAAACAATCAAGCATTTATCCTATCTTTCCTGTATCACCTGCAACAATGGTTAAGAAATAGCAGATGGGGGCTGGGCACGGAGGCTCACGCCTATAATCCCAGCACTTTGGGAGGCTGAGGCAGGTGGATCATGAGGTCAAGAGATTGAGACCATCCTGGTCAACATGGTGAAACCCCGTCTCTACTAAAAATACAAAAAATTAGCTGGGCATGGTGGTGCATGCCTGTAATCCCAGCTACTCAGGAGACTGAGGCAGGAGAATTGCCTGAACCCAGGAGGCGGAGGTTGTGGTGAGCCGAGATTGCACCATTGCACTCCAGCCTGGGTAACAAGAGCGAAACTCCATCTAAAAAAAAAAAGAAATAGCAGATGGAAGGAATGATCTCTTTATGAAAGTATTTCCATTAACAAATGAAAAAGATCTATTAGATTACCACCATCTAATATGGTTTGGCTGTGTCCTCACCCAAATCTCATCTTGCATTATAGCTCCCATAATCCCCACCTGTCATGGGAGGGACTCAATGGGAGGTAAGTGAATCATGGGAGTGGGTTTTCCTGTGCTTTTCTCATGATAGTGAATAAGTCTTATGAGATGTGATCGTTTTATAAAGTATACAGTTCCCCTGTACACACTCTCTTGCCTGCCACCATGTAAAATGTACCTTTGTTCCTCCTTCACCTTCATAATTGTGGGGCCTCCCCAATCATGTAGAACTGAGTCCATTAAATCTCTTTTTCTTTATAAATTACCCAGTCTCTGGTATATCTTTATTAGCAGCATGAGAAGAGACTAATACACCATCTTACAACCTCCAATGGATTAATGGATTAGGCACTAAGCATCAACAGCCACTAACATCATAAAAAGAAGCAGTAGCAGACATCAGGCGCATCATGGGGAAAGAACCCACCAATAATCTAATGTCTTGCTGTAGGGTTTAAACGTGAGTCTCATCAGGCCTGGGGATCCGTTACCAATTTGCAGGAAATACAGAGGACAGAGGGAACAGGTGAACTGCACCATGACGGGGCATTCAGCAAAATCCAGACTGTGGGAAAGTCTCCAAGCTAAATGTTCTAGATTCTTCAATAGATAAATCACTGGAGGAAAAAATAAGGGATAGGGGAAAGCAGTGTGATAAAAAAACCTGTAGATTAGAAGAGTCTTAAAAGATACAAATTTCCTTTAAATTGGCAAGATTAAACGTGGGATGTACACCTGGGTAGTAATATCATAAAGAAATGCAAAGAAGTATCTTCTTTGAAAAGCAAGGTAGTGGCTACTTTTAGGGACAGAGAGGGGTGATGACTAGGATGTGGCACCTGGACAGAACTGCTAGGGTAGGCAGAAAAATTCTAATTCTGGACCTGGATAATACTTACAAGTGTGTTCACCTTAGGATAACTCAGTAAGCTCTACGTTTGTGTTGTGTGATTTTCTGTATTTGTCTTATTTTACAAAAAAAATTTTTTTAAAAAAGGAGAATTTATCTCACTTTCATAACCGTCATAAATATAATGCAACACTTAAAAATAAATGCATGAAAATAAACAATATTATTAACTAGCTGCTGCAGACACTTCCAAGGCCTCTTCTATGTTAAAATGGAGAATAGCAGGTGTAGTTGAGTGTTAAGGATATGCTAGCACTCAAACGAGTCTTTCGTCTTACCGTGAATCAAGTCTTGAAAGATACCTAAAAGGAAAGTGTTTTCTCACTATGTGATTCAGGGTGATTGGAGGCTTGCCTATCTACCACCCAAAATCAACCCCCCTACTATTTAAATCTACCTCGTGTGCCAGCTCATATCCTACTCTTCTGGAGACACTGGTTACAAAGAAAAAAACGGTCTGGTTCAGTGAATGAAGGTAAGTCAAGCCTTAAAAGGAGGATGAAAAAAAATAAAAACTTAGCTCTCACAGATCATTGACAGATTTATGTTATTCATTCAGCCCTTTCTAAATAAGCTTAAAAGGTTTGCTTTTCCATTATGAGCATTTAAGCAAGTTACTGACACTACAACCCAGTGAGAGCTGCTTGTCCTCATCCTAGTTACAAGCACAGACAATTCCCTATGTACTCAACAGGCACCTTCAGAACCTAGCAATGATCCACCTCCATCTTCACGCCTAATATGCTTGGAAGTTCTCAAGTGACAAGAGGCCCTGTATCTGAAAACGCAAATTACAAAAATAAGCTCCCTCACCTGAACTCAGTATCTTAAAATGAGGCACCATGTCCCAAGTTGCTGGCTCATCAACACTAGCCTAAACTGACCTCAAAGCCCTTTAAAAAAAACAAAAGAGGGATGGGGGGAATATCAGATCACATAATAGACTTATAAACTTGTAAGGAGCAAAGAAAGCTGTGAAATTCAAATGTAGCTCAATCACATTTTTCAAACATTTATCTAAAACACATATTAAAAAGTGGCTTGATTCACCTATATGTGATCTGAAAGCAAGTCTTGTTTTATCTTTTCTCCCAAGTTTTTCTACATTTGTTTTAAGAAAAAGAAAATGTAAGCCAGGACCGTTTAATTTTTCTTGCACTGCTGCTCACAAGAGAGGACAGAGTGAGGCCCACCCATAAAGATGAAGTACAAACAGGAATTAAAAGGAAACTTCCATTAAAAAAGAAGATGAGGGTCGGATCCCTTTGTTTTCAATGTCTCTAGCTTCATCAGCCTCCTTTGAGTGGGCAGACCGCTGTTTCCTTCCCTCTCTCACTATCTCCTGTCTGCTCTGCATTCTCTGCCCTCTTTATTTTGTGAACCCTCAACTTCCCAGCTTACCCTCACTCCTTCCCTTGTTCTTATATGTTCAAGAGACATGTAGGCAAGGAAATACTAAACATACACAAACCTGCTAAAATCTTTGAAACAAGAATCCCAAGTTCCACCATCACAAAGATGCTTGCTGAAGTCTACTCCACAATTTGTTTCCATGATGTCTGAGAAATCACACCTCATCTGCATTCCCTGGATCCTCCAGATGCGAGTGTACACCCCTGAGTGTAAGAACCAGTTCACCACATCCATTTCTTATGAACACTCAGAACAAAGGGCTCCTTTCTTGAATGCTGGTCTGATCCTATGAATTCAAAAATGTTTAAGGAAGCTCCATCTCCACACCAGCACCTGAGGAGACTGAGACTTTAAGAACAGAATTTTAAAATGTTCTCGTTGAGCCCTCCATTCTAGAAATGGCTGTAAGTAAATCAAACTCAGGAGTGTCTGGAGCCTACTGAGCTCTACCTACCAACACAATATGTTCCCAGGTACACAAGACAGAAGCTAAAGGCAGACCCAGCACTTCCTCAGATACCATCTTGTGCTATTTTCCTTAAGATAGGTATACTGGTGCATGGGCCTGTTATTTGGGGCCAGTCCTCAGCAGGAGAATGGTTAGGTGTTAGGGGGAAAGGCAGGTGGCAAGCATGGTTTGGGTTTTTCATGCAAACCCTTTTCAATGAACCTTAGAGAAATATAGGAGCCTGTTGAAACATTACTTACTGCCTGTTGAATATCAGTCTTCACCTGTTCACTCAACATGCCTTCAAAGACAAAGGAGTCGCCAAACTTCTCAGCCTATAAGGAAGGTAGAAAATAAAAATCCAGAAAAGGTTGTAGTAATGTGTTTCACGTGTGCCATTTTCTTTGCACACTATTAAAGTGATTCTTCTTGTCCAGTTGAACTTGCATCTGTCTTAGGACTTCCCAGAGGACTCCAAAAGGACCTAAAAATCTCTGGCTTCCTCTTAAAACAAGTTAATGTCACTTTACAGATACCATTGTCATTTAAGACTCACTTAGCTGATAAGAATGCAGCCGGAACAAGATTAGCTTTTGAGAACGTGACTGTTCCTGAAGGAAATACATTTCCCCAAGTATTACAAATGACTCTGGGAAATAATAGTATTGTGTACATGTGAGAGTAAATAATCAAGCTTTGTCCTTTGCCCTGGTCCTGACTCTAGCTAAATGAATGAAATGGCACTGTTTGCTCATATTCTGACACATTCTAGCTTCCCTAAGGGGTCAAATGTGCTTACAAATCTCAACTGGCCAATTCAAGCACCAGATGGAATCTCTATTTTCATGATTTTATTTAACATTAGTGTCTCAGTTCTTCACCCACCTGATTATTTTTGTTGCATGTAACCCTATTCTGAAATGAGGTCATCTGTCCCTTGGCGACCATGACTTTCCTACATTTCTGAGTGTTTTTATTCATCTCCTAAAATACGTGGGCTCTTCTTTTAGCCCCTGAAACACTGTTGCTCCCTGGAGCTCTGCCCTTGGCTCTCTGCACTTCTACTACACCAGTGGCTCTCAGGCTTTGTGTAGCTGAGATTATGTAATCAGCTTGTCAAAACTACATACTGCTGCTCCCTAACCCCAGAGATTCTGAGAGTCTAGTGTGAGGTGTAGGATTCTGTACGTGTAAATAGCACATAGCTAGTTGTTCTAATACAAGCAGTTCAAGGAATATACTTTGAGATACACTGACTGATTCTTGTTGATGGACAACTTCTTTCAGTCCCATCAAATTAACTATAGCCAGTACGCCAAATGAGTCTCAAATCTCTGTCACTAGTTCTGTCCTGTTCTTACTAGAGGAAATTAACTGAGTACTGGATCCTTATATTACAGCTCTTATAAGCACCTCCAATTCCTTTTCTGGGTGGAGCCTACTACCTTTTCTTCACCCCTAATCTTCTTCCTGCATTCCCTTGTGACACGGCTATGCCTAACTACCTAAGCTATTTATTCATTCAACAAACATGTATCAAAACCTACCATGTGCCCAGTTTGGAGCTAAATTAGAGGATATAATAAGGTCAATATCAGATAGCTATGGTCCCTATCCTTATTGTGCTTAAGTGTGGGAGCACAGAAAAAAATCAGGCCAAGCAAAGAATGGAAAAAAATACTTACAACTTTACTTCACCTTGTAAGGTAAAGAGTGTCATAAAAAACATCCTTGAGAAAGTGACACTTAAGTTGAGATGACTCAAGAATGAGAAGGAGCCACCCATGCACAAGGGGGATAAGCACGAAGACTGTGAATTCCAAACAGAGAGAAAATACAGGCCAAGCTCTTGAGGTGGGAAAGAATGTTGAGTTTTCAAGGAAGAGAAACAAAACCAGCAGGGCTAGAAGATGGTGTGCAAGAGGAGCATGACGTAAAGTGAAGCTGGAGAGATGGAAAAGGAGTCTACAGAGTGGCATGAAAACACAGAGCATTTTGTCCAAGGCAGCTCTTGGTCCTTTTTGAGCTCTTTGGCAGCCTGGTGAAGCTCAAGAACCCCCTTCTTAGAATTAAATGTTTAAACACATAAAATAAAATCAATAGTATTGTGAAGAAAAGCCATTACATCAAAACATTAAATAAATTAGTGCCATAGTACTAAATATGCTCTTCCCTAATATATTAAATAAGATCTAGTGGCAGGTCTCATATTTCAAAGGTGGGGATGAAAGTAAACAATATTTCAAGATCTCTGCAACAACAAAAATATGATTAAAAATGTCTGTGACTTCTGCTGGTGACGAAGTCAGAGGCACTGCTACTATTGCTGTGGTTTGTTGTTTGATTCATAATTGAAGGAAATACTACATTTTGGCTTGAGGGTGGTAAATAAACAGATATATTAGGTCGGTGAAAAAGTAATTGTAGTTTTTGCCATTAATAGTAATGACAAAAACCACAATTACTTTGGTACCAACTTATAACTTTTCCCCATCCATGTTTTTAGAGGCCCTAAATTCTGCTTATTCTATCTAATCTTCATGGGGAACCCTGGTTCTTTAGAAGTCTTCTAACTTAAGTAAACTATTGAGGAACTTGAGCTGAGAGTCTCCTTGTGAAATCAAAAGGAAAAGGACTTCTGCTTACTACAAATTATTCATTTAATAATAATTTACACAAAGATGACTGGGGTGCTTAAAAAAAAAAAAGGAACAGGGACTCCACAAACTGAAGACAAGGGTAAAGGTTTTCTTTGAGAGAAAACTGGAAAGCCTACAAAGCAAGTATATTTCAGAAACTCACAGAAACATCCATAGACTAGAAAGGCTTCCTCTTCCTATACCCATTTGAGACAGCATCCACTTTCAGAAGCTTGCTTTGTGATTCCGTGACCATCAGATAATGCCCGGAACTGCCACAGCACAGCATGCATGAGCTGTCAAGGTGTTGGAAGGAAGCCACAAAAATAAAAAGCAGCGCTTCTGTACTTATCACTTAAAAAACATGTAATCCTTCTGGAAAAGCCAAAGTGCAATTTATTGAGAAGAAAAGTGGCCTTAATTTACATGCCATCTGTATCTCAAAAAGCCTTAGTGGACAGTGGTATTCTCTAGCATAGTAAAGCATTAACACAATATAGTGTAATAGTTACGAACACAGGTTCTGAGGACACACTGGCAAGGCTGGAATCCCAGCTACCACCACCGACTAGCTGTGTGATGTGGGGCAAATTGCTCTTCTAATCTTCAGTATGCCACTTGAAAAATAACCTGCCTCATGGGGTTGCTGTGAGAAATTAAGATGAAATATATATAATAAAATGCTTCGCACGGTTCTACCACAGAATGGTAAAAGTGGTCAGTGGTCCGTCAATCCTAGCTGCTATTAAAGCATTCTTAAAAGTTCTGGAAAAGAACAAGTTCTCCCTCCTTTCCCCAATCCCATTACCTCTGTCAAATAGCCAGTGGAGTTCACAAACTTCTCAAATTCAGCATTATTGACTTCATAGGCATCCATGTAAAAGGCATCAATAGTAACTCTCCTTGCAGGTGCTTCCCCATCCTGCTTTATTTGAGGATCATCTGTGCCCATTGTAAATACTCCTGCAGGGATGAGGACCATCTGCAGTAAAAGGTGAAACACAGAAAGTCATGCATTATGGCCAAGGTGTACCTGTGTAGGGGTAAAGTTCCTAGCACACAGTAAGCGTAAGCACTCAGTAGTAAATCTTCACCACAGCAATTACTATAAAATTAGGAAAAATCTCTCTATACCCCAATGAAGGTGAATCACGAGTCACAAAAGAACTGAAAATTCTTTAGGTAATCTCCTTAACCAAACCTCTACCTGATGTAAATCTGTACTGGCACTGGAAACAGGTCTGGAATAAGTCACCAAGCTGCTAATGGCTGGATGTGGACACGGGGAGAATATTCCACTTTTCTTTTTTCTTTGAGACAGGGTCTCACTCTATTGCCCAGGCTAGAGTGCAGTGGCATAATCATGGCTCACTACAGCACTGACTTCCCAGACTCAAGTGATCCCCCCACCTCAGTCTCTCAAAGACCTGGAGTACAGGCGTGTGGCACTGTGCCTAGCTAAATTTTTTGTTTGTTTTTTGAGACGGAGTCTCACTCTGTTGCCCAGGCTGAAGTGCAGTGGCATGATGATGGCTCACTGCAACTTACGCCTTCCGGGTCCAAGTGACTCTCCTGCCTCAGCCTCCAAATAGCTAGGATTATGAGTGCCTACCACCATGCCTGGTTGTATTTTTAGCAGAGACAGAGTTTCACCAAGTTGGCCAGACTGGTTTTGAACTCCTGACCTCAGGTGATTCGCCCACAATGGCCTCCCAAAGTGCTAAGATTATACAGGTATGAGCCACCACGCCCGGCCCAGCTAATTTTTTTTTAAGTTATGGGGTATTATTGTGTTGCCTAAGTTGGCAACTCCTAGGCTCAAGTGATCCTCCCACCTCGGCTTTCCAAAGTGCTGGGATTATAAGCCATCGTGCCCAGCCCCACCTTTTTCTTTAAACACATTTTTTATTCTCATATGCTTTTGTTTCTTTTAATTTATTTTTTTTGTTTTTTTTTTTTAGACAGTCTTGCTCTGACACGAGGCTGGAGTGTAGTGGTGTGATTTCAGCTCACTGCAACCCCCGCCTCCCTGGGATCAAGCAATTCCTCTGCCTCACCCTCCTGAGTAGCTGGGACTATAGGTGCATGCCACCACGCCCATCTGCTTTTTCGTATTTTAGTAGAGACGGGGTTTCACCATGTTGACCAGGATTGTCTCGATCTCCTGACCTCGTGATTTGCCTGCCTCATCCTCCCAAAGTTCTGGCATTACAGGTGTGAGCCACTGCACCCAGCCGTGAATCATTTTTCAAAGCACATGCAAAAATGCAATTTATGATATCTTTAAATAACCACTGCATGAATTTTGGCCTCTAACAATCATAAAAAAGGCTTACATCACTAAAATAGAAAATTTTAAAGCTTACTAAGGGACTATGTGTTGTATAATTCCTTATAAAAACCCTAATTGCAATTACTTTGTTCCTATCTACCTTCCCACATGAACTCTAAACTCCAAGAAGACAGCAACCGGGGCTGCCTTGTTCCCAGCTGTATTCCCAACACTAAGCACAGGATCTGAGGATCATACTGAAAATTTTCAGTTAAAAAATGCAGGTCCATGCTCAACATCGTGAGTCATTAGGGACATGCAAATCAAAACTATAATGAGGTTCCACTTCCTGATCACTAGCATGGCTATAACAAAAAGACACAATAACCAGTGCTGATGAGGATGTGAAAAATTTGGAACCCTTGTATGTTGCTGGTGGGAATGTAAAATAGTTGTTTAGCTCTTTGGAAAAGCAGTTTCTCAAAGAGCTAAACAAAGAGATATCATACGGCCCTGCAGTTCTCCTTGGTATATAACCAAGAGAAACATATCCATGCAAAAACTTGTATAAAAACATTCATAGCAGCATTATTCATAATTGCCAAAAAAGCAGAAAAAATCCAAATGTCTATCAACTGATGAATATATAAACAAAATATGGTATATCCATAAAATGGAATAATATTCAGACATAAAAAGAAATAAGTGTTGGTTCATGCTATAACATGGGTGAACCTTGAAAATACTATACTTAGTGAAAGAATCAACTGACAAAGGGCCAGATATTGTATGAATCTATTCATATGAAATGTCCAGATAGGCAAATGCAAAGAGACACAAAGTAGATTAGTGGTTGCCAGAGGCTAAGGGGAGGCAGGAATGGAGAATGATTGCTAATGGGCATAGGGTTTCTTCCTGAGATAATGAAATGTTCTGGAATTGGACAGTGATAGTTGTAACAGCTCATAACTATACTAAAACCCACTGAATTGTACATGGTGAAAGATTGAATCGTATGCTATATGAATTATATCTCAATTTGTTCAACAACCACAGGCCTTCAACCCTACCATCTATAAGAAATACGTTCTTTACAGACACAATATCTTATTTTCAAATCATCTGAGTGAGTCAATTAGTGGACTCCTCAGCAACTTAGGACTTGCCAAGTCCCTCATCTATAAACAAACGTTCAATATCACAGAATAAAATGGATCATAACAATTATATCCCACATATACAAATTTGATAACCTTGAAAAAAATGGATAAATTCCTAGAAACATACAGCCTATGAAGGCTGAATCAAGAAGTAGAAAATCTGAACAGACTGATAACAAATAAGGAGACTGAATAAATAATTTTAAAAATTGGTCAGGCATGGTGCCTCACGCCTATAATCCCAGCACTTAGGGAGGCCGAGGCAGGTAGACCTCAATGGAGGTCAAGAGTTCAAGGCCAGCCTAGCAACATGGTGAAACCCCACCTCTAGTAAAATTACAAAAAAAAATTAGCCAAGCATGGTGGCACAGGCCTGTAATCCCAGCTACTCAGGGAGGCTGAGACAGGAGAATCGTTGGAACCTGGAAGGTGGAGGTTACAATGGGCCAAGATCTTGCCACTGTACTCCAGTCTCGGTGACAGAGCGAGACTCTGTCTCAAATAATAATAATAATAAATTTCCATCAACAAAAGCCCAGAACCAGATGGCTTCACGGCAGAATTCTAATTTAAAGAACTAATACCAATACTTCTCAAAGTCTTCCAAAAAACTGAAGAAGAGAAAACACTTCCAAACTCATTTTACGATACCAGCATCACACTGATACCAAAGCCAGACAAAACTACTACTACAAGAAAAAAAAAAAAAATTACAGGCCAATATCCCTGATGAACAAAGATGCAAACATTCTAATAAAATACCAACAAACTGAATTCAACAGCATGTTAAAGAGCTCATACACCAAAATTAAGTGGGTTTATCCCTAGGATCAAAAGACAGTTCAACATATGCAAATCTACAAAATGTGATACACCATATTAGCAGAATGAAGGACAAAACCAAATGTTCACCTCAATATATGCAGAAAAGGCACTGAAAAAATTCAACATCTTTTCATGATAAAAATTCTTGACAAGTTAAACACAGAAGCAATGTACCTTAACGCGAGCCATATATGAAAAGCCCAGAGCTAAATACTCAACAGGAAAAAACTGAAAGCTTTTCCTCTTAGATTCAGAACAAGCCAAGGATGCATACTCTTGCCATTTGTATTCTATATAATACTGGAAGTCCTAGACAGAGCAATTAGGCAAGAGAAAGAAACAACATCCAAGCTGGAAACAAAGACATTATATTGTCCCTGATGGTACGTGGCATGATCCTGTATACAGAAACCCTAATGACTCCATCAAGAAACTGTCAGAGCTGAGGTATGAATTCAGTAAAGTTGCAGGACACAAAAATCAGCATGTAAAAATCAGCAGCATTTCTTTATACTAACAATGAACTATCTGAAAAAGATATTAAGAAATCAATCCCATTCACAATAGCTCAAATTTAAGAAAGACACTTACAAGTAAATTTAACCAAAGAGGTGAAAGAACTATATACTGAAAACTATAGAACCCTGATGAAAAAATAGTATAAAAAGACAAATAAATGGAAAGGTATCCTACGTTCTTGGATTAAATGAATTAATATTAAAATGTCCATAGTACCCAAAGCAATCCACAGATTCAATGTAATTCCTATCAAAATTCCAATGTCATTTCAAGAAAACAGAATAAAAGGAATCCTAAAGTTTGTATGGAACTGCAAAAGACCCCAAAGAGTCAAAGCAATTTTGAGCAAAAAGAACAAAGGTGGAGTACACATACTTGACTCTAAAATATACTACAAACCTAATCAAATGGCATGGTACTGGCATAAAAGCTAACACATAAACCAATGGAACAGGATAAAGAGCCCAGAAATAAACTCATGCATTTGCTGTCAATTGACTTTCAACAAAGGCACCAAGAAAACACAATGGAGAAAGGAAAATTGTTCAAAAAATGGTACTGGGAAAACTGAATATCCACATGTAGGAGAATGAAATTAGATCCTTATCTCACAAGTTAACACAAAAATCAGCTCAAGCTGTATTCAAAACTTAAGTGTATGGCCTGAAACTATAAAACCACTAGAAGAAAACATTGGGAAAAGAAGCTCCATGACACTGGCCTGGCAAAGACTTCTTGAACTTGACCCCAAAAGCATAGGCAACAAAGCAAAAATAAACAAATGGAATTGCATCAAACCGAAAGGCTTCTGTACAGCAAAGGAAACGATAGAATAGAGAGATATCCCAGAATGGGTGAAAATCTTTGCAAATCATGCATCTTACATGGGGTTAATATTCAAAATATATAAAGAATTCAAATCAATAGCAAGAAAACAAGTCAATTTAAATATGGGCAAAAGACCTGAACCAACATTGTTCAAAACACATACAAATGGCCAACAGATATAAAAAAAAATGATTGTCATCACTAATCACCAGGAAAATGCAAATTAAAACCACAATGAGCTATCACCTCAAAGCTGTTAGAATGGCTTTCATCAAAAAGATGAAAAATAACAAGTGTTGGAGAAGGTGTAGAGAAAAAGGAACCCTGTGCACTGCTGATGAGAATGTAAATTAACATTATGGAAAACAATATGGAAGT